AAGAGCCCAATAAAAAAAAAAAAATGCAAATATGACTTCCGAGCAACAACGATAAACTGTATAAAATCAATGCAGGTTACTGTGTCCTTGTTGAAGGAGAACTTTCAACACGTTATAGACTACATTTTAAAACTGAAGTTAGACATGGCTATATGCTATCATTTGTGCTGTTTGCAATTGTAAGTAATTTTGTAATGAAACCGAGCATGGACGCAGAAAAGGTGATGGGTGGGCAGAAAGCATCCACCTGATGAATTAGAATTAATTTTGCAAATGATTTTGACTATCAAACACCGTAGTGCATGAAATGCATTTTAAAAAACCCGATGATTAGGCCAGGTGTGCACATATTCACTTCATTTTCTATGACAAACCTTTGGAAGAAATTGTTATTTATATTCAAGTAATTTTGAGGCATTATCTCCCTAAAGGCAGACAACATAGGCGACGTCTATCAAAGACTCAAAGGTACAACGATCGGCTTTGTAAAAATCAAAACTCGGTTGGAATTCAAAGTTAATTCATTAAAGACTTAATTAGAAATATGATATAGTAGCAATATTTCGTCACTACTCGTTTGTGGCTTAGAGATATGAAAAACAAATAGAGCAGCTCCACGAAAATTAGAAAGCTTTTAAACAAAATGTCTACAAAGAATTTTGTTGGTAAAATGTTATTTTATTTGTCACAGATAATGAATTGCTGGAAAGCGCAGGGATTAAAGACATAAATACAACCATGTGACGGAAGAAGAATTAGACATTTGAGACATGTTTACCAGAAAGTAAATTGTCTTATCAGACATGGTACTGGAGACTAAATCGATAATAGAAGAGGAAGGTCAACTGACGGTACGGGGAGAGATTAAGTAAGTTACCAAAAAGAAAAAGAAATAAACGTCAGCATTATAAACATGACCTACTGCCCTGCGAAAAGACAGACAACCATGGTATGGTCAAAGAAAAAAAAAGGAGAGAAATGGATAAGAACACTATCTCAAATTGAGTTCTCAGTTTGGTGTGGCTTACAGAGAAGAGGCCAACGGCGAGACACATCTATCTCTAGACCTGATGTGACAAATGAGGACAGACTAGCTTTCAGAATATAACTGGATTGCTGGGTTAGATAATTTGGGGACGATAATGGCACAGTTCTAAGCAGAAGACTGAAGATGGAAATAGACACCCTCACATCTAGACTTAGAGGACGGTCTACACCGATGATTCTCCGCGATATGGTAATACACACATACACCCACAAACACCCACACACAAACACCCACACACAAACACACACACACACACACACACACACACACACACTCATACTGAAACAACAACCTCACTCACACATTATAATTTATTATATATATATAAATATTGTATCAGGCAATGCGGGGAGAAAGAAAGAAAGAGAAAGAGTGAGAAGGAGGGATGGAAGCAGAGAAAGAAGTAGTG